TGACGTCTGCGACTCACAGCTTTGAACTTTGAAGGCTGTGAAATCCTGTAGCACGTTGTGTGCGCGTGTGTATGTGTGTGTGTGTGTGTGTGTGTATGTGTGTGTGTGTGTGTGTGTGTGTGTGTGTGAGAGAGAGAGAGAGAGAGGGTGAGAGAGAAAGAGAGAGAGAGAGAGAGACAAGGATGGGGTGCGGGAGGGTATGTACCATTGCTGTCAACAAAAAAACAAAAAACAAACAAAAAAGAAACAAGAAACTAAATTTTAATTATAGATGATATAATTACTAGATCTAGATCTATCACTGCAGCTTTCTTATCCGATGCTCAATTTAAAGCGGGGAAGGCCCGGTGGTATTGCGAGTAACGTCAGTCGTCAACACCTTCACACAAAGACATGTTTAGATGTTTGGGGGAAGGGGAAAAGGGTGTGGGGGAGAGGCGGGGGAAGGGGTTTGGACCTTGACACGAACTGACGTCAGCATCCTGCCTGCCGGTCGCTGTCGCTGGTACAGCAGTGGTGAATCAATTTACTTACCACATTTATTTTGTTCCTTTAGATACTTTCTCCGACCTCTTAAGTGACTTAAACAGATGGAAAAATAATTGTTGGCCCGGTTTCTTCTAACTGTTCACGTGCATAATATAACTAAGAGAATTCAGACTTTTGAGAGTCAATGATTGTAAACTAGGATATAAATAACAGGTTATCTTTTGAACCGGACGCCGAGCGTTTCAAAAATGCGATTCACACCCACTTTAGAATGAGGTGCAGAATAAAATAGGGTTGAAATCCGGCTATCCGGATATTCTTAATGAGGTGCACCAACATATCCGGATTTTCAGAAGCAACTCAATGCCCACCAAATAAAGAGTCAATGAGGTTGATATGCCAAATGGCCACTTGACATGTGAAAGAAATTGTTCTATAAAGTCCAAATTATCTCTTCCTATCGCTTAAGCTTAAACAACCTAAAAGAAACATTTAAAGCATAAGACAAACGCACACCTTTTAAAGAAGCTAAAAGTAAAAAAAAACAACAACCAAACCAACAACATGACACCAAGGCCATTTGCGGAATTGAGGTTGCCTTAATAATAATACGTAAAATGTTATTTGGCATCTGGCATTGGCCTAGGCCTACAGGAAGTAGGAACAAAGATGTACTATCTTTGGTAGGAAGTAGTGATGGGCCGATATCACAGTGTAGGTATCGATGTTGATACTTAGTACTTTTTCAAGGGATCGATACCGATACCTCGATACCTAATGCTATTAGTAACATACGCCGGGGGTAATAAGTAAAGACAAAAATACAACTATACCTTTCCAAGTATTTAGGTAATCGTGTCTAGACAAGTTGTGACTATTTAGCTGAGACTCACACAAAAATTATTTGTAAAAGAGAGAGAGAGAGAGAGAGAGAGAGAGAGAGAGAGAGAGAGAGAGAGAGAAATAAATACCCAAATATGAGAATAAAAACAAAAACTAAGTGAAGTATGGGAGGAAAGTCAACTTTGCAGAAAATATTAGTATTGGAAAATAAAAACACAAGAGTTCTAAAAAGGCAATTCAATTTACCAGATTTTTAGCAACTTTAAATCAAACCAATGAGAATAAATCAGGGTTGTCAGTGAGGATTTTGCAAAATCACTAGATAGATTTCACGAAAAACTTCTGTCTTTTTGTTAAAAAAATCACTAGATTCATTTAAAACGCTTGCCCCCTACGAAAACTTATCAGTTTTGATAAACAAAAAATTCTCAAGGCCCAAGTCACTTGCTTTGGCAGCCCTGGGATAAATAACACATAGGTATCGATGTTTAAAGCAGGTATTGGTATCGATACCAATACATATAGATATCGAAGTATCGGGTATCTAGTAAGGGTGGGCCGACTCCGAGAACTTCCGAACTTTCGACTCCGAACATTTTTGGGCGCGAATTCGTCGACTTCGACTCCGAATTCGAATTCAGGTCAAGATAGCAGCCAATCAAATTTGAGGAGAGGCAAGGTCAATTCGGTGGGATTCGTGTCAAGTCAAGTCGTTCTCCCTACATCCGTCGAGTCGAACACGCTGTAGAGAATCCCGACTCCACGGACCAGTGTAGACAAAGGGGGCGGGGAGGGGGGAGGGGGAAGGAGCAGGGAAGAGGTCACAGAGGTCGGGATTGAGGTAGGCAATGTTTTCATTGACATCAGGGGAGGGCACCAGTTTGTTTTGAAAGTTATTTGCCCCTCGTTGACAGTACAGCCGCATTCATGTGCGAGGATAATGGATGCAAACAGGTCATAATAAAAATCAAAGCATAAAATCCCGCAGTCTCGAACTCTAAAGTCAGACCATGCAAATCAAAGCAACAGTCAGCAAGACAGAAGTCTATAAAAAATAACAGTAATAGATCTAGATCTAGATTTATATCATAATCAACATTTATTATGACAAGATGAAACATACAAGGTTGAAAACAAACATGGAGTAATGCAAAAGAGACGAGAAATGTGACAATGTAAATGTAAGTGCCAGACAGGTCGTAAGAAAATACATGTAGATAGTACAATGAAGAGAAGAAAAGTAGTGAAATGTGTGTGATCGTAGTGAAAGCCAAAGAAAGAAGGAGGCTGGGATAATCACGGGATTTGAATTTGACGTGAAGATGGCTTGCAATTGTGATTGGTGCAATCAGAGACGCAATGCTCGTCCGTCACCGTAGTGCGTAAATTTGACCTTGGCCTCTTAGGGCATAACCACCAGCAGAAGGGATTTGTAACTGCTAGCGAATCAGCGCGTTCTAAAAGCTCATGTGACTTTCATTGAGTCGATGGAATCGTGGGACGGTCCAATTCGAACTCGCTGCTTCCTTCTGAACACAGCGAGGGGAAAATAGAAATAAGACATCGTGTTTTATGATACTTTTCAAACTTATGCATTTTTATTCATTCAAATCTAACTTTTGAGCGTTCAAAAATGTTTCTTGGGTGCAGTTTTGCGTAAAATTATTCACAGTTTTTAACAAATTAAATATGTTTTCGCTCCTCGTGATCTATTTTCCCCTTGGCTGCCCTAGTTCGGGAATTCGTGTTCGGACTCGTCCTCCTGCCCAATGTTCGATCTCCGACTCAGACCCCACGAATTCGCCGAATTCCGAATCTCGACTTGACTTCGCCCATGCTTAGTCCCCATCCCTAGTATCGATACATGCCCATCACTAGTAGGAAGTGTCTTCCCTCCTGCGCTCCTGCGTCTGCTTCAGACTGAAGCCATCAGCGCTTTCCTGCATAGCACACTGCACAACACACTACGCAGGCTATTGCTCGATTCCTTTCTTCTGACTCAAAAACTACGATTAATTGGTGGTAGAACATTGGTAAATATAGACTAGATCTAGATCTAGATCTAGTAAAATCGAATGGTGTTTTCGTTCTATATATCAAATATTTCTTAAACTGGCGATTTTGTAGTTTCGTTCTTTAAAGTCAAGAGTAGGGGGGGGGGGGGGGTTCAGCCCCCCTGACCTAGAAATCTAGATTCTAGATCTAGTCTAGAGATCTAGATCTAGAGATATATCTAGATCTAGGATCTAAATCTAGATTCTAGATTATCTAGATCTAGATCTGGATCTAGATCTAGATTATATAGATCTAGATTATCTAGATGTAGATCTATATTCTAGATCTAGATCTAGATTCTAGATTCTATTTCTAGAGCCTAGATCTAGATCTAGATGTAGATCTAGATCTAGATCTAGATATAGATATAATAAAATTATGAAAGGGGGGGGGGGAGGGGGCATTGAATGTTATCTTAATTTGACGTTTTGTAGTTAGATTCTAGATCTAGAATCTAGAATTTATATCTAGATTCTAGTCTAGAGAAATCTAGACTAGGTCTATAATCTATCTAGATTAGGTTGCATCCCTGCTCTTTGTGTAGCCTATTTGAAATAGATCTAGATATATATCTAGGATCTAGACCCCCCTGACCTAATACTAATATAAATAAGGTGGGTGGTTTCAGGGGGGCATGCCCCCCTGAATTTTATCACAATTTAATGTTTTGCAGTTGTTAGGTTTGAATCAAACGTGTATAGATCTAGATTTCTAGATCAAGATATCTAGATATCTAGGTCAGGCCATTCCCAAGGGGGGGGGGGGGGGTATTAACATGTTCTTATGCACAGTTGGGCTGATTCATCATTGTCATGCTCATACTGTACCGGTACAACTGTACATCATAGAGTCTAGATCTAGAATCTAGGACTGGATTCTAGATCTAGAAACATGGCCATGGAGTTAGGACGGGACCACTTGTTCCGAAAAGTGTCCCCCCCCCCCCCAACTAGATTTTCGATCTAGATCTAGACTAGATCTAAATATCTAGATCTAGATCTAGGTCTAGAGATAGCCTAGTCTACTTAGAATCTAGAGTAGATCTAGATCAGTGGGCGGCTCGTGGGTCTAAAAAGTGGGCGTGCACAATTAGGTTAAAGCAGGTTGAAGATAGTGAAGGGCATGTAAATTAGATGTTTTCTTCATCCTACTTGTTTTGAGAAAATCTATTTGAAGAAGAAGCTTTCCTTTCGTTCTTTGGCTGGAGCAAAAGTGTCCATTATTATGTTGACGAAGTTAGGCATCCTGTCAATGATGTCCTTGTGGATCGACATAAATGTACGTCAGTGCGATTTCTGGTATTTTGCATAGGCTACTTCTCTAAATGTTGTCTCGAATTTGTAGTCCTTCAGAGTTGAATAAAGGCCCTGGATTATACATGTACGACACTGAGGAGATTTAAATATTTCATTGCAATGTAATACTTATAATTCTGTTTGTAATTTGATTTTAAGCAAAACAGTAATATTTCTGTAAACAATCCTAAAAGAACTGTTGGAAACGACTTTTGATACTCCTGGAATTTGGATGAATCGCAGATTGAGAGTGCTTTGATTTTATTTTGCTTCAAGAAACTGTCACAATTTGAGTAACTATTATGTCACAGTACTCACAGGCCTGCTTTGCAGCAATTTCGTTGGTGTTGTTCTGTTTGCGTCTCTTAGAAGCGTGTTTCTCTGTTGTCTGTCTTGTTGATGGAACAAGTATACTGTTTCTCATTTCATTGACAGCTACTTTAAACGTATCTAAAACTTGTTAAGCTGCTATGGGCGTTGTACTTCTGTGTTAGAGGATCCCATAAACAGCGTTTGGTGAGGACTTAATTCATTCACTCTCTTCTTTTTACTTTGTTTGGTGAACTGAATTTATTTGCAATCAACCTCATTCATCCTGCATTGGAATACGCACTCGAGTAATAAAACTTTCACCACTACTCCATTCCAACTTCTAACACAATGACCTAATTACGTCATGTTGACCTCGCTCAAGTTCAGGGTTACAGAGGTGGGGCTAGAGATATAAATGACAAGACAATGGACCAATCGCACATCGCTGGGAGCACTCCCGTGGATTGCTCCAAAGCTATCATAATACGGGCATTGAATTGTGTAGGCTGTCGTGAGCTGGTTTGAGATTGCGATATTTTTAGACTGCCTCTATGGGCTTTGTTCAGCTGGTGCACATCGAGCTTGTGCCGCCTTATTAATATTTATGAACTAAGAAACTCGGTCAAAACGTCATCGTTGTTTGGGTCGTCCCATAGAGCATTTTCCGAGAGAGATTACACCACTGAACATACTATTTTTTCCTTGGGTGAAGCAAAAGAACAAGGTATGGTATATATGTTGTAACGCTGTTGTAGATGTTGTATAAAGGAGCGAATAGGCTCTGGCGAGGAACGTGTACGTAAAACTGATTAGATGATGGATGGTAAAGGTTCTTTTGTTGTCACTTTGAGGGTGTTGTGCGCTAAAATTTTTGGGCGGCAGTGCACGACCGTGCTCTGTGGACCAGCCGCCCCTGATCTAGATCTAATCAGACCCCCCCCCCCCCCCCCAAGTCGAGTAAAAAAGCTGGATGAGTATTTTTAGATCAAGATTTTAGAGACTAGCTAGATCTAGATCTAATCTAGATTTCTAGATCTAAATATATTTAGATTTTGATTCTAGATCTGGGTCTAATATAGAAAATAAATCTCTAGATCTAGATAGATATTAGATCAAGGCTAGATAGATTCTAGAGTCTAGGCTAGATCTGTAGATGTAGATATTAGATCTAGATCTAGCCTATACATCTTGATTCTAAATCTAGATCTAGTTTCTTGATGTCTAGCTCTAGAATCTAGATATCTAGATTTAGAATCTACATTAAACTGTATTAAACTAGAATTCTAGATCTAGATCTAGGCCTACACCTTTTCCCTATCAAATATCAAAATGGAGATGTCAAATACAGCATTGGAAGCTCAAATGTCAAAATAGTCAAATTAATTCAACATAGATCTAGATATCTAATCTAGATCTAGATCTAGAAATCTAGATCTAGAACTAGATCTAGATCTAGTTAGGCTAGAATTTTCTCTCTAAGTCTAGATCTAGATCTAGATCTAATCTAGTCTAGATCTAGATAGAGAATTCAAATTCAACACAATGAAAAACGTAAGCAGATGTCAACTCAAATGTAATCACAGGAGAGCTCAAATGAAACATTAGGGAAATTAAATTCGTCATTGTCAGTTCAAATGCAGCACAGATCTAGATCTAGATCTAGATTCTAGAGATCCTAGATCTAGTAAAGTTCAAATTCAACTATACGTAAAACTACGCTACGAAGCTGAGATGTAATCATCGTCTCCGAGGCAGGGGAAGTTACCCTGTCTCTTAGCAACGCTCGTTGTTTACTGTTCACGCAGAGAGTATTTAATTATAGAGAGCGGAAACGAAGCCTCTTATCGCGTATCCAGGTCACCAGCTGATTGTGAAACGAGGCGCGGTAAACAAAGCTATTGGCGGCTATCGGCAGTCGCAAGTCACCCGCAAGTGTCACGCTGTAACTGTAAGTGGTGTTCTGCGGCGGTCTGCGTCCGTGCCAATTCAAGATCACACAATTACCAGACCTAGCATTCTTTAGCTTTCCAAAGGACCCTGAAATGTAAGAATGTGCACATATACTTCTTCATTAACCTTATTTAATATCGTTTTTATCACGTGTAGATCTAGGCTTATCTAGGCCTAAATCTAGATCTAGAATTATATTGAACATTTTGTGGTAGTTATTTACATAGCTTATAGAGAAAAAAAATAATGTTTTAAGTCCGTTTTCTCTAAAAATTGAAAACAGCCGCACAAAGTTAGCGTAATAATACTAATATACTCCCTGCTGGGTATTACACAACAAAGGAAAAGCTACACATGCCAAACATTTAGTTCAACAGAAAATCAGTACAATGCAGAGTTACAGACAGGCCCTAGCAATGCAGATGGATATTGGCTATTTGTGTACATGATGTATTATATTGAGTTGTCTCGTACAAAGAAATGTATATAATTGACAGAAAGATTATAGCATCTAGAAATTGACTTGCATAGAGCATAATATGTAACAGAAGTGAGTTGTTTGGGTGCTAGTTATCCAAATGTTCTACTGTAAGTCAGTTGGGGTTGCATGTAAAGTCTTATTTAGATGCTTTCTATGTCATCAGTTCATCTTCACTGCTGTCACTTCCAGAATCTGAAATCTCATCTTCTTCATCACATATGATAGAGGAGATGGTTTTCATCTTTGTCTTCCTCTTGTTCTGTATCTGATCCTGACAAGATATCAACCAATTGTTGAGGGACCAAGTCTTTGCACTACTCCACCATTATCTCTCTTCCAACCAAGATCTTGCGGATCAGGTACATTTGTATTAATGGTTGAGCAGATGTGCTTGCTTCCATATTGAAGTTTAATACTATTAATAGTTTACGCCTAGGATGTCAGTTTCAGGGCTTCTCTCGCATGGTGTCAAATCCATCAAAGCATGACAGTAAGCTTTGACCTTTTGCCATGTACTTTAGCCTTCCAAGGTCATGATGAAACTTGTTAGCGCTAGAGTAAGCTGGTTTTCCGTACAGGTGACTAACAAACTTTTCCAGATTGGAAAACAGTTCTGAAGAAACAGTTTCAGACGTTCCTAGCTCCTTGAATGAAACAGCAAACTCTGGGTGCCTGTGGAGAATGGTGAGCGGCTTCACCTTTCCTCTCTGGACAAAATCGCTAGACTCCTTACATCCAAAGAATGCATGGAGTCCAAGAATAGAATCCTGTAAATGTGTTTCCATTTTGTAACAGAGAGTCTGAATGTGTAGACATCTTCTTCTTTTTCCCAACCCGTGTCAAAATTCAAACTGTGTGTGAAATGTTGAACAAATGCAATCATCAGTAGAAAGACATCAGTGTCTGGGGACCGAATAATGATGTCTGTGTTTGGAGTAGCAATGTTCTGATCAGAGAAGATGGCATGCACGAAAGTTGCCAAAAATAACGGAATGTGAAAAACGAATTTCGCAACTTTTTAATTTTAATTTTTTTGAAAAAATGCTCCTTTCAATTCTCCTCGATATTTCACAATCTTTTATTGACTGGTATCATCTACTTATTTTCCAAAGACAGCTTTAAATAGGTACCGCAGGCGAGCCGTTTTCAAGGCAGACAGCTACGGCTGGAGCCAGATTTGGACAACTTCATCCAACTATTAGCTGGTTTTAATTTTGGTAAACACAAATAAAAATTATACCACTGTCTTCTGTGTCTTTCCTTCTCCATGGTGAACGAGAAACTGATACTTATGATTGCATATTTAGTTTTTAATTGACTAAAGTTTAACACGGGAAAACTCGGCCGTCTCGCAATTTTGCGCGCTTAGATTTGGGGGGTACTTGTTTTAAATTTCGATTTCTCAGTCGTGAATCATCGAATTTTCTTGCGGTTTGAAACATAAAAATCTGGGACTTCAGGAAAATTTCCGGGGAATATGTTTATGTTTTTATTCCGAGCGGAAAGCTTGAGTGGTACGATGTAAAGACGAAGAAAGCATTTTAAAATATGAAATTCGACACAAATCGGGCTATCCGTGCCAGGATCATATTCCCAGACATCTCTACCATCAAGTTTATGTGTTTAGAAAAGCCAACTACGTTCCACGAAGTAAAAATATTACTTTTTCTGAAGTGGGGTAACAACCACTTTCGGGATATCGTCATTCTGCCATTGCGGCTGTTCCATCGTCCATTTCCACCCCCTTTGACTTGACCCAACCAGCAGACGATTATAATGATGGTTCAGTAAAAGAAACATTCGATAGATCTGTTTATGACGTCAATTTATGTAAGTATTATCCTAATTTTCTTTTAGGATACTTATGAATATCGTGTTTTGAAAAATAAGACTAATCGGCCACCACTTGCCGTGTGGTTGGATTGTTATTGTTTGATGGGAATCACGCCGACCTACATTTTCCCCACCTCATAGTGAATTAATTGCGATCTATACAAATGTATCCCTTCGTGGTGGTATTTTTGCTGTCTTTTCAACCAAGAACATCTTAATTATCGAAATCTAAGCACCTCTGGTCGACAAAGTGAAAGAATAAAGCCATGAAGAGTTGAACTGGGAGTTCTATTTATAGTAACATGTCATCACACACTACTAAACACTCGGAAGGGGGTTACCGGGTGTTAGTGTTACCGATGGAAATGTTCGTAGATCTATTGTTTGGCATTTAATATTCGGTAACAAAAAAGGCTAGATCTACGTTCTTGATTGGTGGATATTCAATTATTGAATCACCCAGCCTTTTTACGTATTCTTAGACTTAGTTAGACCTAGATGTCACCTGATAGGCTAATTGGAGAAATGCCCCCCCCCCCCCCACTCTTTCTTCCATCCACTTACTGGACACACGATGATACATTGTATTTCCCCAGCCACTGGTTTCTTTCTCAGCTAAAATGATAAATAAATCTAGAACTAGATCTATATTATACAAGATGAACCACGGTAGAACAGTATGTTGATTTAATTCCAATTTTTAAACCCCCTGAGCAGAAATCTTAATTTTCTGAACCAATATTGATGACTTTTTCACATTATTGTCCATATCTGAAATGATTGGAAGGTTTTTTTCTTTCTATAAACTAATTCAGTGTACAGAGCCTGAAAAGAGCTTTAATTTGATATATAATGCAACCTTGTAGCACAATTTGTTGATTTTATATGAATTTTTTTCCAGTCGGCAGACGTTATAATTTTCACTCAATAATGGCAG